ATTAAGAAAAACTCCACTGGATGTTTTCTTTTCCACGTAATTTCCACCTTCTTTTTAGATCTTCTTACTATCCTAACTATAATGCACCTTTCTACAAATAAAGTTTTCACAAAACAAAAAATGCATCCATATTTGCTTAGTCGTCATACTTGACCATATTAATTATTCCAATTAATTATTATTTTTATATAAGTTTTTTGGTTGAGATGAAAAATTAGTGTCACGAGCGGGTTTCGAGCCCTTCGAATGAATACGCAGCTGCTATAACCTGAGATAGCTTCGATAAACTTCGATCCCCTCGGACAACTCCTCATCTCAACTTACAACCGCCGAAGGTCGTGGGTTCGAATCCCGCTCGTGACACTAAGTTTTCATCTCAACCAAAAACCTTAGATAAAAAGAATGATTAATTGGAATAAAAAATGTGTTGAACCTGTGTAACTTATTTCTAAGCACTGGTATGCAGTAGCCTTCGATTTGTTGAGCATCTTGTTGACTTTAGCAATTTAAAAATCTAGTTGATTGATACGGTAAGATTGATACATTGACCAATATGCTAGACCGTAAGGCCCAAAAAGAAAATGATACATAACCTTAAATACCTCATAATTAACGCAAATAACACCATATCTACTATTTTATAAGATGCATTAAGCTATTAATAGCAAAAATGTCGTTTTGTCCCCTCCCCACCAGAGTAATAACTTCCGCCGGAGATCGGTAAAAATGCCAATGTGACAATGGACAACCCGTCCTCGTCAGCTCGTAGAATTGTACTCGTACGAAAATTGGACAATTGGGGCATTTGCATGTGTGAGCACCAGTGTGTTTGGCAACACAAAACTGACATCAAGGGCGCCGTAAATAGTCGCTCGTCCATGGCCCCTCGAACTGCCATCGTAGTCGAAACCTTGTATTTTTTGGGCAGATTTCCCTTTTCAATTCAACTCGAGCGTACACGCGAATCGCAGTAACGGCTTTAATTGAGAATTTTGTGTAATCGACCCCATGTTCCAGTTAAAAAAAGAAGTTACAAGTGGATTTATTCGATAAATCACTTTTTATTGACTCCGAGGTAAAAGCCTGAATGGAATCTTATTCCCGACAACCTTTCTCTCATCTCCCATGGGTGAATTTCGGCCCTTCACATCTGACCGCCTTCTTCTTGCTCAATTCATAACAAACGAAAGTTAGAGAATGTAAATTATCGAATTTGCAATGTCGACTGTGTTTACACATTTGCTCTGGCCTTTTTAAAACCGATGGCGATGCACTGAGGTTCGTCGAACTGTAAATATTATCGTGAGATTTCCTCTTGAGGTCTGCGGGGTGTTGAACCTGTAGTTTCGTTGTTTCCGGTCATTTCTGGTCTACTTGGCTTTTCTCCACATTCAGTGTACGTCTGTTTATCTCTTGCCCGGCTCTGTTGTGGAATGTCATGAAATACAGTGCTATACAGTGTAGCCATATTAAGAGTAGAATGATCTTCTTTGGTCATCCTTATCTGTACAAGTTATTTGAATTATTCTGTAAGACTCAAGTAAGCAAGTCTAAAGTACATTTGATCTACTCCTCTTGAAATCATTTCAGTAGATGTCTGATGTGTCTCGTGCATGTATTTAAGTGGGACGAAATGTATGCGTCGGATTCTATTTAGTCATTTTAAGAGGAGATCGATCGTCACTGATCATCCTGGTCTGTCTATTCTAGCTGGCTTCAATCAAAGTCCTCTTGAAATCATTTCATTTGATGTCTGCTATGTCTCCTGACCTGCCCTGTATTAAAGTGGGACGGAATTTGGGAGTTGTACAGTCATTTTAGAAGTAGAATTGTCGTCTTTGAACGTCCTTGTTCTGTATCGGTACAAATGGTTATCTAACCCTCAAATTTGGCTCTGTTGAGAGGGTGACAAAACTATCGTTCCACGCATGCGATTGGATCTATTCAGCCTCTTTAAGAGTGGAATGATCGTCATTGATCATCCTGGTCTGTCTATTCTAACTGGCTTCAAACAAAACCCTCTTGAAATAATTTCAGTGGATGTCTGATTGTTGTGTCTCATGTCCGGCCATGTAGTTGACTGTGAGGGACATTGGATACCATATGGTCAATTTACGAATAGAATGTCTTTGATCATCCTTGTTGTGTTTACTCTCAGCCAGTCATATTCAATGGTGCCTATCATCACTCAAATTCGGTTCTACTGAGAGAATAAAATTTTCTGTTTCTATGCCCTAATTTTTTAAAATTAAATCTATTTATTAAAACTGGTCTTATTAGACAAACCATTGATTTTACAATAATATATATAACATAAATACATGTTTACAATCTTATAACCCATTAGTACAATAAGATTTACATTTCACTATTCACTCATTTTTAACTACACAAGTTCATATGGCTTTGATCTTTTTAATCGTTTAATCGATTATGTAGGAGTTTGGTCGCTTCCACAATCTAGTGCTGGCTGAGGTGGGAATGGTGTTTGGCTTCAAATCTTTGTATTTCCGCCGTTACCTCAGGGATCTTAAGATCCCTATGTAAGTCCTTTTTCCTTACGTACCAAGGTGCTTTGGCCATGTTACGTAAGATTTTATCTTGGAGTGTTTGTATGATTTTGATATTGCTGTGTACAACCCCATAGTTGAGTGAAGCATATGTCAACATAGGATTTAGGGCTTGTTTGTAAAATAATATTTTTGTAATATTCTTAAGAAATTAAAAATTTTGAAAGAAATATTTTAAAGTATAAAGAAGTAAAACAGAATAAATGGACATACTTAATACTCGCTTCTTCGGAAGCTATGGAAAACTAACTTCAAATTTTTTTTTTTAAATACGTACATCGCTCAGATTCTTTATTTGAAAGTACCATTACATGCAAAAAAACCCTGACAAATTAAAAATGTTTAGTTTTAGTCTCCCCCGTAGTCGGTTTTATCCTCATAAGGATGTAGAACGCCAGGACATTCCAGGATTTTACGTTGAGTTTAACAATATACGACATGAAATGTTTGAACTTTTAAAGGGTTTTCGTATTAATCATAAATATTGGATTTTTTTTCTATAATATGCAAATGTCTCGCTGTCCAGATAAAAAAAAATCTCAAATGAGTCTGTGCACGTTATTGCATAGAGGGCAATGAAGTTCGTGGTGAAATCCGACGTACGTATTCTTGTAATTTTTATTAGATAATTAAATTTTTTTAGTAAATTCCTTCTACATACTCAAACACTTCTTTGATAAATAAAAGATAAAATATATAAGCCGTAAAAACTATAATTTAAAAAAACTTTTAAATTTTTTATACGTGGAGGTTTATAAGGTTTTTGATTTATTTGATATAGGGCTTTTTGTAAAATAATATTTTATTTTGCAAAGCAACGCATGAGTCACGTCCTCTCAACCTGTATAGTTGTTTATACCTTAAACCTATTTCTGTCCTTATTTTCATCACGTGTACTTTCCATCTCAGCTTGGCATCTAAGGTCATTCCCAGATATTTAATTGTATCGCTGTATGGTGTAGTTCCATCGATTGTGAGCGACGGAACACGGTCCACTTTTTTGTTTGTAAAGATTAGATGAACTGATTTATGCTGATTTAACTTGATTTTGGGACTGCGGTAGCCGAGTGGTTAGCATGAGAGACTCTCACGCCGCGGTTGTGGGTTCGATTCCCACCGTCGCCTCTGGCCCTTTTTTCCCGATAACCCCCAATTTGAACAACATATATAAGAATTCGTAATGGCTAATATGCAAAGATCATAAGGCCAATAAAAAAAAAAAATAAAAAAATAAAAAAACTTGATTTTGTTTTGTCCATTCGTTTATCTTATTACAAGCATTTTGAAGCATTTTGGTTGAATAGTTGATAGTCGGTCCTACTGATATCACCGCTGTGTCATTTGCAAACGTTGCGATTTTTACTCCATCTATTTTCGAAAAATCACTGGTGTATAACAAGTAAATAAGTGGACCTAATATGCTACCTTGTGGCACTCCTGCATTTATTGTTGTTATTTTTGAATGTCGATCTTCTTGTTTGACTCTAAACAGTCTGGCAGTTAGGTAGGAACTGATAATATCGGCATACTGCTTTGGTAGCACCCCTTTTAGTTTTTGATGAGTCCTTCGTGCTAGACTATGCACTAATAGTCAATTTAAAAGTGTATTGTCCATCCCCAATAGCCTTGGCCTGACTACCTATGTGGTGGGTACTGTGAGACACGTTACTCTTGAACCATTTTCAGATGTCTGCCTGTTTGTTATATTTTCAATTTAAGAGTATAATGGTCGTCTTTGATCATCTTGTCTGCACCAGTTAATTGGCTTGTTCCACTAGACCACGTTTTCTTATTTTATCCATCCTTATTGTCCTTGCGGTCTGGTGTGATGTAGGTTTCAGAAAAATATTTTCTTTATCGTGTCAACGTTTCGACCTTTATTGAGATCATCTTCAGGGCTACATCACACCAGACCGCATCTCACGATTTCTAAATAAATATCGATTAAAGGACACTAATCACCACACACTTATTGTCTTTGTAAGTTACTTATTTGACTTGTTGTGGACTTTTATTATTTCTCCGTTTTTTTCTTGGATCCACCAGTTTGGTTCATGTATGTGGCCGGTTATGTCCACTAATCAATTTAAGATTGGTCATCTCCGATCATCGTGTTTGCTTATCCTAGTACATTTGTTTCAGTCAAAGTTTCTCTTTATGTTTTTTTTTCTTATTTCGGCTCATTGCCTCCAGTGGCAGACCCTGTTGTAGAGTGTGATGGAATTCGGATAGCCTTAGTACCTTAGCACCTACAAGAAAAAATTTTCTTTTGATGTTGTTGACAATTATTTTTATAAAAATACTTTATTTAGTTTTTCGTTTAATTTTAGTTTTTTCTAGCTTTTGGCAAAGCTTGGACAGCCTGGAAGAGGGAGGTCCAGTAAGCCGGGCAGGTGGTACCCTCGACTGCCGTGGAGGGGAGCGGGGCCGCCGGCGATCCACGGCTCGCCCCATCCAGTCGCTGGTTGCGTCTTGTGTTGTGTGTGTTGTGCCGTCCACTGGAATAAACTATTCTCAAGGGGAAAGAGGTAAGAGACATTTTTCTAGTCTGAACTATCTCTAGAAACAATTCTCTAAAATTTAAACTTAGTCTCTGAACAAAATCCTGAACTCTACTGGAAGCCGCCTCTTCAGGTGTAGTTACTATTCATTTTTTTTTCCAATAATTCCATCATTATAAATTTAAGCTATAAAAGCAATTTGAAAATAAAAATCATCTAGCAATTCTAAAAAAAAATTATATTTAAAGTTGAATAGTAAAAATAATTTTTTAAATCAGTTTTTTTTGGAATTAAGAAGTGTATTACCTCTCACATAAAGAAGATTCTGTACTTTATTTAGTCAAAAATTATCAATAAGATGCGATAATTTTAGAACGGAACACAAGCTCTAAAACACTGACCTGTCCAACATTATTTACTTTGAATAATAACGACCGCACACAAGACTTGAAATATTTTGAATATAAATAATTAAATTTGTTTAAAAAGTACATGAATTGTATCAATAAATATTTAAACAATAGAAGTAGGCGAACAGAGACAATTTCTTAGGGGTAGTAGACATGGCCAACATTATCCATATGTGAAAAAAACCCTCCATATATGGTCACTTTTCTCAAAATCCAATTGATAAATTTTAATTCAATTTTATATGCGTGTTTTTTAATGTTTGGTACACACGTACGATTAACGAAATTTTCCAAAATTTGATAGTTTTGATTTGACAAGAATTTGAAATTAAGGAAAAAATTTCGTCGATATTTTGTCATATGAAACTCCCCTCCCCGTATAAACTACACATTATTTTTACAATTCCACAGCTATAACGATGCTAAAACGTCGGATTAATCATTGAAAAAATAATTATAAAAAAATTTAAAGGAAAGACTGCGATTTTATGCGTGAAAACGTGATTTTTCAGGAGAGATGGAAAACTTCTTAATTCGCGAACCGGGTTATTTCAATTCTGAAGAACACTAAAAATTGAACTCAGGTAGAATAAAAGAGGCAGAAATTCTCAGCAATGAGGCCGAGCAAAAAGAATATCTAGCACCCAAGTGAAAAAGAATTTGGAGGATTTACGAGAAAGCTGATAAGTATTCATAAATCGCTGAACGGTTCTAAAAAATATTAATAAAATATTATTAAACTTATTTTTATTTTTGTAATATTCTTAAGAAATGAAAAAAATTTGAAAGAAATATTTTAAAGTATAAAGAAATAAAAAAGAATAAATGGCCATACTTAATACTCGCTTCTTCGGAATCTATGGAAAAACTAACTTCAAATTTTTTTAAAAATACGTACATCGCTCAGATTCTTTTTTTTAAAGTACCATTACATGCACAAAAACCCTGACAAATTAAAAATATTTAGTCTTAGTCTGCCCCCGTAGTCGGTTTTATCCTCATAAGGATTTAGAACGCCAGGACATTCCAGGATTTTACATTGAGTTTAACAATATACGACAGGAAATTTTTAAACTTTTAAAGGTTTTTCGTATTAATCATAAATACTGGACTTTTTTCTATAATATGCAAATGTCTCGCTGTCCAGATAAAAAAAAATCGCAAATGAGTCAGTGCACGCATAGAGGGCAATGAAGTTCGTTGTGAAATCCGACGTACGTATTTTTGTAATTTTTTATTAGATAATTAAATTTTTTTTTAGCAAAATCCTTCTACATACTCAAACCGTTCTTTGATAAATAAATAGCCGTAAAAGCTATAATTTAAAAAAACACTTTTGCAATTTTTTATACGTGGAGGTTTATAAGGTTTTTGATTTATTTGATATTCAGTATAATGTTAGATATAGAAGATAGTGATTTTTTTTAATTGGATACACAATTTTTTGCGTTAAAACTAGTAGGATTCTACCCAATTATCACCTTACCTCCTTGTACCAGACATGCAGTAATTTTAATTTTTTTCTCATATGGTTTCAATATTGAATTCGGGAAAAAACCAATATCTTTCTTTACCGGAAGTTCTTTTTCTCATTATTTCCTTGCAAATGGCTCGAAGGGAAATTTATGGCTTTTGTGGTTCTCCGCATGCAGCTTTTTAGCAACATAGATATGTAAAAATGCATTTGAGCTATACGACTTCGGCTTTGCTATTTTTGTACTTCCAATAAAGAATATTCTTTTATGTTCAGTTTTAAAACTTTAATTCACGTTTTACAATATAAAAAAATTATGTTGATAAAACCAGCGTCAGTTTTATAATCAATATCGGTACGAAGTTCTTTTAAGGTCACGATCCAAAAAAAAATTAATCATTTTATAATGAGTAATTTTTATCAGTAAATTGCCATTACTATACTTTTTTGTATTGTTATTAAATTGTTAAAAATAAATAAATAAATAAAAATCAGTGTAAGGAGAATGCAACTAAGCAAAACATCATTTTTTTTGTCGATTCTGATTATTCATACATTTGATAAACAATGGGTCTTCCCAATGATGATGATGATGATGGTTTAATGTGTGTAATATAAAACCGTGACTAATAACAATTAATTCAATTGCTATGAAATTACTTTTTCAGTCTCTCAATCTGTTTGCTCTAAAATGTTCGACGGCGATTAATTCTTAAGATTGACCGATTATTACATTATCGTAAAAATTTTATTTATTAGGCTAAATGATCAAAACTGACCCGAATTCGATTTTAATGGATTTTTATATGTAATTATTATTACCAGTTCGTTCCTAGTGAGCGGGTCGTGGAATTTTTTTACACTTTCTCTTATTCGTATATGTTGTCGCTTAAGAAAGGAAGGAATCTTTTGAATGATAAGGAAGATAATCTTTTTAAAAAAGTGGTCCTGGTCTGATAATTTATTTTTATTTTTATATTAAATTTTATATTAAATTGATCTTGTCAATAATGATGTTCCACGTTGTTCATATGAAAAAATGAGGTCTTTCAATACATTCTTCATCTGTTTTTTTAATTTTATTATTTTTGAACCCCATCTTCATTTAATTGGACAGTCATGAAGTTCTACCTTGTGAACTATGAATTTGTACGTCGGATTAGAAAGGGCGCGCCCCTTTCAATCGCGATTCGCTCTAGTTCACGCCCTTCTACAAAAGAGCGACATTGGAGCTCGATCGGTTTAGAAAGGCCAGTCGGTGTCTGTTTCCCAACATAAAACACCGGCCGCCGAGGAAATGCACGACGAAATTGCTTCGTGATCACGATGGCCCGACGGTACCGTCCTTCGGAGACAAAAATGGACGAGAAGATTTTTCATTGGACATCCGAGGGTTAATAATCCATGTCTTACTTAAAAAGAAACGAGAGAAAAAGAAATACGCGTTTAACTAACAGACTAAGTTCAGACAAGTTATTTTTAAAGACTGAAGGCCGGTGACTTCAACTCTGGGATAAGAACGGTGCTGTACTTTTGAATCTCTCAAATAGACTGCAGACCCGGAATCCAAAGAAAAATCCACACTAGTTTGCAAAAAAAAATTATTTAAGTCACATTTTAAGCACACATTGAATAAATATTTAGAATAAAATATAATTTTTTAGATTCAGAAGTTCAATTTAGACATTCACACGTAGTTCAATCTCGATAATTGGTTGATAAAATTTTGTCTGATATGTTGAAATGAACAATCAAATATCAAACTCAAAGCTAATGAAACTCTCATTATGCCAAAATTGAGCCCACAAGTACAACACATGTGGTACATATACAATGAATTTTTTTTTTGTGTAAACACCAGTTCATTTTTGAAAATTCTCGACAGAATGTGTCTGTGACGAAAGTTGCTAACTTGAGACAAGTAAAAACCTGGATTGATGGTGACAGTAGCCATAAGCGTTTGGTAGCTTTCAACAACAAATTCAGCACAGTTTTTTCTTTCTTTTTTTTTCTTCCTATGATAACTAAGTTACATGTTAGATCTTAGCGTTTCCCTGAACTTTTAATTCCGGGCTGATTACTTCTTGTACCCATAATGTTAAATTAATAATAAGAAAAATATTTCCCTGCTTCCTTGGGTCTTCCCTTTCAGGGCAAGGTCGAAGGAAGCCGATAAGCAAAATAAGATCTCCTAAACTTGAATCCCATTTGAATTAGTTTAGAGGCCGTGGTCCGCCGGTATGGGGTCTCCCTTAGGTACTGCGGGGAGGTGGATGGGTAAAAAAAAATTCAGCAGAAGGATGCAAATCTTTCAAATCAAATTCATCCTTTTATAAATTAAATTCACCCTGCAAATCACGTATTTTTATATCTATATTTTTAAACATAAAACGATGTTAATTAGTCAGTAAGAAAATCTATTACGAATGGTCGAGTAGAAATTTTAAAAAATAATCAAAATCGCTTTTTCATAGATATTTCTCAACCAATTTTTGCCTTTTTCATAAAATTGACTGGATTGATGTACCTGCAAATGAACGTAAAATTTCANAAAAAAAAAAAAAAAAAAAAAAAAAAAAAAAAAAAAAAAAAAAAAAAAGTTTTTCTTTCAACCCACAACGTTTCGCATTTATTTTAATCCTTCCTTAGGTGAGTTAACGCAGTGGTTAAAACAGTGGTCGTCTGTCATTAATATTTTGTAACTGTTTATTTTAAAAAAGAGCCAATGTGGTACATATTTAAGTCTTTCAGACTACTCGAATTCTAAATTTCATTTTTAAACGCTTTTAAGATACAATGAATTGTTATTAAAATCTTTAAAAGTAGAGGTTATACAAGAAAAATGCTGTTCACTTTATTTTCTAGTGAGTGGTTTTTAGAAAACCAGGAGTGACAATCGTAAATTGACACCCTGTATACTTACGTTAAGATAATTTGAGAACGTAATGGGTAAATACATTAAGATGGAAAACAAATACATCAAGAGATTATAAAGTTCGTAGCACTTTTCTTACTAAAGAATTCACATTACTACATTTTTAAATTAATATATATGTAGAAATAGATACAATATATAATAGAAAAATCCAGCAAAAATAGAATTTAATTTTCAAAAAGGTTAATTTGATTTTTAAAAGCGTGAA